GCCAGAAGCAGGAGCAGGCCCCGGCCCCACCCAGCCACGACCCCTCTGCTGCGCCAGGCCGCTGACAATGCAGCCCCGGGTGAGCCTCAGAGGCAGAGCAAGGAGCAGCGTGTCAAGGGTCCATACAGCTCAACAGGCCCCAGGAACCGGGGGCAAGAGCAAGAGCCTCCCTCCCAGGGGGCAGGCCCAGGCTGCAGCAGTGTGCTCCCCCCCCCCCAGTTACCAGCCTCCATTCGTAGCCCGGGAGCCCCTGGAGATGCTCCAGCCCAGCCTTACCTGGCAAGCTTTCAAGCTCAGCTTGATTTCCACCTGGCTCGTCTGGGTGCCCACCCACATGTAAACCTGCAGGGAAGAACAGACACTCAGAGTTAGGGAGGATCCGGGGCAGGCAGCCCAGCGGGTAGGTCCGGGGGGCAGGGACGGCTGGCAGGATGCAGAACAGGCAGGGAGGCTGCTCCCCCGCCCACGGCCCAGCCCCAACCCCTCACCTCCTGGCCGTTGTCCAGCAGCATGATGTCGTCGTCCGCCAGGTCGTCCTGGCAGAAATCGGAGCACTTCTCCGACACGGCGAAGTAGCCTTTCTCGTTAGAGCACCTGCAGGGTGAGAGCCAAAGCACCGTTAGCAAGCGGGGCCCTGCCCCAGGCCAGCCCTGCAGGAGCCGGGCAGGGTGAGGAGTTCCTCAGATCTCAAGCGGGCGTGGGCCTGAGCTCTGCAGACCCCACCGCCTAGGGGCTCCTGCCCCTTGGCCAGCCCCCCTGCTGACACCAGGCCATCCCGCTGGCATGAAGAGCCAGCATGAGCCCTTGGAACAAACTCCCAGCCACCGGGCTGCCAACGCCGGGGACTTGGCACGCACCTGAACAGCCGCGAGTACTTCATGTAGTCGGCGTCTTCGTCATAGGCCTTCTGGCCCCCGATACCAACCCAGAAAAAGTTCTCTGGCTCCTCCCCTTCGTTTATCACCTGGTGCAGAGCAGAGGGGTCAGTGTGCGCCCATGGGTGTTGGCGGGGGGGTGAGACAGGTACAGTCCAATCCCGAGCCGGTGCCTGAACTGGGACCAAGCTCTCCCCTGTGGATGCACCCCAAAGGGGTCAGCAGCCACCAATGTTCCCGCTCATCTGTTCCAGCCATGTGCGGAATAAGGTGTGTTCTGTGCACCAAGACGTGTGCCAATGTGCACCACCCGGTGAAACAAGGAGAAAGCAGCCAGCTGTGGGCACTTTGCTCATCAGTTTTGGGCAGCACTGGACTCTCTCCTGAGCGGCTGCCCCGTGCACAGGGAACACTGCTGGCCAGCCTGGGACCTCGTTACTTCACAGGACCAAACGGCCTGAGTCCCACGTGCTGGCCCTCCCCTCCTACAGGGGACTTCGCGGCCCCCCCCCCCTGCCATTAGCTGTCCCGCTTTGCTGGCAGACATGGGCATCTGCCCAACACCAGGAAACCGCTCAGCAGCTGGGGACTGGCCTGGGCCTGGAGTAACCAGCTGCTGCTCTCTGCTGGCCAAAGCCTCCCCGCACTGAGGTTTCAGCCCCCATAGGCTTGGCCGGAGACCTCCCCCACCATCCGCAGAGCCATGGCTGGCCTGACCCGGCCTAGAGCGCTGCTGAGGAGCAGCCACTGGGCTGGGCAGACAGAGGCTGCCCCGGGG